ACGCAAAATACATGCGACTTTTAACTGGCCCCGCAACCGCAACTCTTCCAATTTGCGCACTAGCAGTCGACGAACTAGTTTCTGAAAAATCATCCGGGATACCAACATGACATCTCGCACGATATGCCACCAAGTGCGCGTAATAGGCCGCCGGAACCAAACTGACCGCGCGCGAACAACGATTGAACAGGAAACACAAGCGGTAAGTGATTTCTTGCAACTCATCTGGTGTAAAGTCGTTTTCGTCCCAGAGAATGTGGTAATGTGTCTAAGAGAAAATAATCGATGAATACAGTTCATGAAAATTCGGCTAAAGTCTAATGTTTGCTTACTGGTCTTGAGGTGCCCTGAATTCCTGCCTGTGCAGTTAAATAAAAGTCATAATCACAGGGGTGAACAACGTCTGCAATAAATAAGAATGAAAAATATCAGATCAACTCCATCAAAAACTCAACAAAGATTTACCTCGATCCACAACGGTCCCAGATGGTATATTCCCACTCTTAGAATCTCCTTCACTCGCATTCTGAGGCGCAAATCGTACATGGTGTCGCTTGTTCATAACAACAAAAGTAATTTTCGGAACATGTTTCACCGCGCTTTCAAACGCTCTTCGAATCGCTGGTAATTCCTGATACAAAACTTCTTCAAATTGACCTTCGGAAACACCGTCACGGAAGAATATAACGCGATTGGGGTGTTTCCCTTCGTTTCTTTCGGTGTATTGGCTCACGAGTTCTTTGATCATTGACTGGGTGTCGGTAATTCGTTCTAGCTTTCCGGATTGGGCTCGTACTGCTCCTCTGTACTCCCAGAAGCTACAAAATGATAAGAATCGAATCAATAAAATAAACAATACCACGTTGTATCGGTTTACTTGGTATCAATGTTCGCCGTCATCGCCGCAATGGAAATAGCATTCGGATTTCGCATCTGACTCGGAGCTGGGTGGGAAACATCGGCTCCAAATATCATCATTCGTTCGTTTGCTTGTGGAGAAATCTGTTTGATATCGTTCAAGAAACTAGGAACGAGAATGTTATTAGTTCCACCGAGTTTAGCGTTAATCTTGAGTGCCAAGTTTGAGCAATAAGCGGGATTTGCTCGTTCAGTTTTCTTGAACTGGCAGCATTGGGTCATAAGACCTAATTCAACTTCAGCGACTCGCTTGACTTCATCGTACATCTAAAGCGAATTAATTAGAAACAAAATGTAGAATCCACAATTTAAAAAATAATTCTTACTTTTGGATCACATAAAACGCAAAGAATCAATTCAGCTCTTCGATCCGGCGACGGTCCTCCACTTCCATCCGGACGAGCCCATTTATTCGCTTCAATCAACCCCGCACGGATCGATCGATCGCCCTGGAAAATAACATTCGGTTCCCAGTTTTCGATTCGCATTCCCTTGTTTGATAACTGCTGGGCGAGGATTCTCGTAAAGTTGTAAATTTTGTCTTCGGTCACGAATCGGTCTCTGCCTACCACCAATACTGACCAAAATCTTAACGTTGCCGGTTGGTAGAATGCGTCCAATCTCCAGACTCCGTTGTTGGGAGTTACGATTGTGTTTCCTCCTCCGAATCGTCCTCCGCCCCCGCGACCACCACGACCTCTTCCACTATCGGTTCCTTGTTGAAGACGAGGTGCTTGAAGAACTCGTGCGTCGACAACTGCTAGTTTGGGATCGATGCTAACTCCCCAGCTGCCTAATAACTCATGTTGAGATAACTCGCTATGAAGCACTCTATATCAAATAATAAAAATTTCTCATCAGAATGAGCGCAATTTCCCTTGAAAAAAAAAAATGATCAAATACCTTCTTCCAGCTTCAATTCTTCTGAACCGCTCTTGTGGGTTACTCGCCGTGATTTTAATAATATTCGCCAACTGAATATCTCCAAGTTTCCCGCTAAACCTCTGATTCTCTTTAATCGTACACAACTCCATCGGAATATGAATTTGTTTATACTGACCCGACAAGATAACCGGGAAGTACGGGTACTTTAACTGAATGTTGAACATTTTGAAATAATATTCTTGAACGGTAATAGTGCTATTTGGATCCTCGCCGTAGAATGGGGAGCCTTCGTTGGTGGTATCGTCTTGTGGGATCTTCATTTGTTGACGGTCCGCGCCGGCCGCAGAGATTCCTCGGATTTTGTAACGTTTACGACCTTCTTCGCGGTATTCGATGCTTACGGTTACTTGCCGTAAGAATTTTTCGAGACTGGTTCTACCGCGATTAAACATTTCAGGTGAGATTCGTCGCATTTCGGGGACTTCAAAGAATTCGCAGACAGTGTCGATTAAAGAACCTGGAAAAGAATAAAAAAATATCTACTGAGAAACATGCTTGAAAAACCAATAAGAAATTAAATACCTGGCTTGTAAAAGGAAGTAGCCGATACATCGAGATTCAACATGAGCATCTGTTTCACTGTAATACGACAAGCTTGATACCACCCTTGCTGTACACATAGACCACCACCCAAGTCCGGAGAGTTTGAACTAAACAACTGGTAGAAAGATCCGCCGGTTTTCGTGTTTTTACTCGCAAAGATTGCGGTCGGTCGTTGTCGCATGAGAGTTTCCAATGCAGAGATTGCGTCACGAGGAGGCTCGCGAAGGTTTCCGGCAAGATACTCGTGTAAACGACTCATATTGACTTGGGTCGTCGCTTGGATTCTAATTTTGAACTGTTGAATGTTTCTAAGTGAAGAAAAACGTTAAAAGCATATGAAATACTCTGATGATTAGATTGTTGTAATGAACTTGAAAACGCACTTTCCACTATCTTCACTAGAAAGATCGATATCCCAAGTCATTTCTTCTTCCGGTCCTAGATCCAATCGAGCGGGACTGAAGAAATTTTTCTGTCCGTCGTATGCAGCCAAACGAACAATCATTCTCTGTTGGGATGAGTGGTCGGGGAGAGCTCTCCAAGCTTCAAAGATTCTGCGATTCGTAGCAGCTGGTCGGACGTCGTCGGGAGTTATAGCAACATCCTGAAATAATAAAAAAAGGAATTTGTAATAAATATCATAAATAGAGAACGATAAGTACATATTGATGAATCATCCTGTCAGGAATTTGTAAACCGTAAAAGTTGGCGAGAAGTTTAATCGGATGACCGCTTTGACCGAATCCAGGACGAGGGGGAAGTTTAGGGGCATCTTCCAACCGCATTTGTTGCATTCCGATGGCGATATCGCAACCTCTCGAAGATGAAGAGCTTGTAATAATCGTACCGGTGCCAGATTCAGACATTTTTTTGATTAGAGCCGAGTGCTTGTTGGAGGACTGAAGTTTAAATGGACTCTAAATTAGACTTGGAGATGCTGTTCTACTGAATGTTCTATAATGAAGACTTTTTCATGCCGCATTAGCGAAAAAAAAAAATCTGAAAAATCTATTGAAGTTTTCTCTGAATGTTTCAATGCATTTTTCAAAAAAATGTCTCTTCATAAAACTTCACAATAGGCACGGTAAAACACGGCTTTACCTCCTTTGCCGGCCAATGCAACAGCTTCTCCCGCTCCAATAAACACAACGTCTCCTTCTTTCAATTCCAGGCTTTCCGATCCATATTCTAACGCACCATTTCCTTCCGTTACGATCAAAATACTTGGACCATCAAGGCCGTCAAAGTATTCGTACAGTGGGGCATGCAATTCTGTCTTCAAGATCGTGAATTCTTCAATTGGCGGATTGTATAACTTGGTGTGAGTCAAGGTTTTCTTTGAGGTTGCAAACGGATCACCGTTGAGTACTTGATCGGCTGGAGGCAGAGTGGTGTACGTTAACATCGAGACGAGAGTATCTACGTCTTTGAATTTAGGTGTAAGTCCTGATCGTACCACGTTGTCTGATGCGGCCATGCACTCGACACAGTCTTTTTTAAATCATAAGAATAAAATTTTAGCATAAACAAAAAAGTCTTGCGAAGATACTGCTTACCTCCAGATAGATATGCGTGTGGTTCATTTGCAGCCAAAAAGATAGCTTGCCCGCTCTCCAATTTCACAAAATTCAAGAAGAACGTGCAGAAAATTCCGACATCACCCTTGAATTGACCATCAAGTCGAACAACCAATTCCTCAATACCCTTCAAATCTCCTTTCGCTTTTAATCGTGATACCAAATTTTCCGCTGCGGATGAGATCACGTCTTCTTTTGAAGTCATCAACTCTTTGAAGAGTTGTTTTAACGCAGTCTTGTTTGCTGCTGGGACTGCAGTTGCAGCAGGGAACGAAGCTTGAGTTTTGAATTGAGTGAGGGTAGCTTCGCTGAAAAGAGATGCGAATTCGGGATAGTTTGATAAGTTTTCTGAAATTTCGGCCAACTGACGGAAACCGATGAATGCTTCGAACGGAGTCAACGCAATAGCCTGAACCAAGATATAAATCATCAAAATACTACACTGAATCAAAAAGAAGTAAAATCAAACCATTTCCGGTTTATGGTTATCATCCTTATAGATCTTTGGGAATTTAGTGTGAAGTTCTTTCGCCAAAACTTTGTCTGGATGCGCTTGGATAGAAAGCCCTTTTCCGATACTTAGAACTTTAAAGAGGAAAGGTAAATCGCCGTTATATTTCGCGTGAATTTTTTTGCCGAGAGTTTCAGGAGTGAGAAGCGATTTTAAAAGTTCACCATTAGGAAGAGTTGACGGTGACGTCGTATGAGTTCCCATCCATAACTAAGTATAGCAAAAACGAGATTAGACTTCCAGATAATAGGGAAATGGAAGAGTTTACTTCGGCATAAGGTTTAGATTCATCCACAGCGAAACCGGGAATATTTTTTGAGAGTTGAGCAACTTTTGACGACGAGCCTATCTTTCCCCAATCGTAAGACTGTGTTTTCCCGTAAATCTTTGAGACAACCATTTATGATAAAAGTTCGCACGTTTTCCGTCAAAAAGTGGGCCAACTTGATGAAGCAGTTGCCTGTTTGTAATTGGTATATATCTGTAAAATGCAATTTAATTTCGTCGCACAGATGGCCGAGCGGTCTAAGGCGCCAGTCTCAAGTGCTGGTAGAGAAATCTGCGTGGGTTCGAATCCCACTCTGTGCAATTATGTTTTTTTATTTTACAGATTAATGTCAAGTGGCTTGAGGCTTCGCAGGCTTATCGTTATGAATATGGACAAAGATTTCCCTCAATTGCGCGGCGAAGTTTATTTTGATAACGCCGGAACAGTTCCAATTCCTTCCCCTGTTCTTTCTTTGCTGCATTCTTCTCTATCGTCAAATCTCTACGGGAATCCGCATTCAACCGTTACCACAGACTTCACCTCATCCGCATACTCAAACCAACAACAACGACAAATTTCCAAATCATCATCAAATTCTGCATTCAAATTAACCGGCTCAAACTTATCTTCATCGAAAATCCAACAAATTCGACATTTGGTTTTGGAATATGTGAACGCTCCTGTTGGAGAATACGACGTGGTTTTCACCCAGAATACAACGGCCGCATTAAAGCTCGTGGCGGAAATTATTCCTTGGAATAATACCTCTTCAACACAGACACATACCGCTGATAACAACGATAACCAAAAGAATTGGGGGCAGTTTTGGTATCTTAATCATAACCATACTTCTGTTATCGGAATGAGACAAGAGGTGATTAAGCAAAGGATTAAAGAAGTTGGCAAATCTGGTGATTTGGAGCGGTAAGTTTGAGATGCTTAACCGAAAGCTTTATAATTTATCAAGAAAAAACCAATAGTTACGGAATCAAATGTGTAAAACCATCAGATATTAATAATTACTTATCTTCTCCATCCTCGATTCAATCCTCCGCATACAACCTATTCGCATACCCCGCACAATGCAACTTTTCTGGAACACGATTCCCGCTAAACTGGATAAACCAATTCCAAACAATACCCCACACCAAATGGTTGACTCTAATAGACGCAGCATCATACTGCTCAACGACGCCAATCGATCTTACCAGCCATCCGGCAACGTTTGCGGTTTTTTCATTTCATAAAATTTTCGGTGGTCCGAGTACGATAGGAGCGTTGTTGATTCGAAAAGAATTTTTAGAAGAGATGAAGCTAATTGGAAGGTTTGATAATTGGTATTTTGGGGGTGGGAGTGTTGCTGGTGTTGATGTTACCTCGGGGTGGTTTCAGTTTAAGTCGGATGGAGTGAAAAATGTTAAACGGGTGGTGCATGATCAGCCGGTACAGCATTTTTTGGAAAATGGGACGTTACCCTTGTTTGAGATTTTGGCGGTTGAGTTTGGATTTGGGTATATTAAGGAGTTGGGTGGATGGAAGATGGTGAGGTATCATGTTTCAAAGTTGTGCGCGGAACTGGAAACAGCATTTACGGAGTTGAGGCACTGGAATGGAGTGTCGCTCATAGAACTGTATCGCATGAATGGTAACAACGAATATTAAAAACGATTAACGTTTACTCGTCTGTCTAAAAATATAGATAGTGAATACGATTACGGTCCAATATTCGCGTTCAATTTAAAATCACCAGATAATTCTTATATTGGGTATCACACTGTTAAGATGTTGGCGAGTATAAATAATATTCACATCCGAGGTGGTTGTTTCTGCAATCCAGGTGCGTGCCAAGAGTATTTGGGATTTTCCGAAGGCGATGTAGAGAAATACTATGAGGTAAAATAAAAAATTTCATACTTTCGTGTTGTTTAAATCACATTTTTGTTTAGGTCCATGGTCACCAATGTGGCGATCAACTGGATGTAATTGACGGAAAACCGACCGGCGCACTACGAGTATCGATAGGATTTGTAAATACGCTGGATAGCATACGAAGTTTAGTTGATTTTCTTCGAGATAACTTTATATCCAACGAAAAGCCGATAATCAACGACCAATCCTTTACCACGACAACTACCGCGCGACTATCCTCCATAACGATATTCCCCATTAAAGCATGCGGAGGATACGATGTTAATTCAGGTGAGACATGGCCTATAGTATCTTACAACCACCACACGGGTCCAACATTATTCGGCGACCGAATTTGGGAAATTATCGGTGCGGACGGAAAAGTCTTGACCCAAAAAAACTTTCCGCAATTATGTTTGATCAAACCGTTGAAAATCGATGTTACCACCGGCCGAGTATTATTTGGACTCAAAGGATCCGAGAATTTATCGAAAATCGAATTATCGATGTTTAAAACGGACAACGTCGACGCGTCGGAATGGATTTCGAAAATTCTTGGATTCGAGTGCACGCTGCTTTCTGCATTTGACGTGAAATTGCCGTCGGATATTGCGCTGGCCGCTGAACCACCCGGAATCAACATTGCTAACCGAGTTATCGACCAGCGTTCAAATTTCGTCAGCAAAGCATCATTCTTATTAATCTCCCAACAATCATTCAACTACTTATTACCCGAACAACACTTTGAATTAAAAATAACCTCATTCCGCGCAAACTTTACATTCGATTCAAATTTCCCACCGTTCATCGAAGACACTTGGGTCGACTACATATGTAAAACCAACCTCTGTAACAACAGCGACAAAAAATCACACGGACGGACAATACGGATCGGGAAACTCGTTTTAGAGTTGGTTAATCCGTGTACGCGGTGTAGAATGATTTGTATTGATCAGGATTCGGGAAATTTGGATAAAACGCTTATGAATCGGTTGTTTTCGGTGGAGAGGGTGGGGAAGAAGGGAACGTTTGGGGTTTATTTGGAGTTTAAAGGTTATGAGGGGGAGGTTGGTGTGTTGGTGGGAGATAATTTTCGTGTGTTGGGAATGGTGGGGGTTGGAGATGAAGTTTTTATAGATTAATGTACGGTTTAGATGCAAAATATAATTCTACGGATATGACTGCTTTTCGATTTGTGGGTGCTTCTTCTTGGGGCCTAAGTGAAGGAGTGATGTTTGAGTTCACTTGCGAGTTGGATGTATTCGAATGATTCGTATGCTAGTTTGAACTTCAACGGTAACGGACGCTGTATTTTTTTTTAATTTTATTCAACTTGAAAAAAGATCTTAAAAACACTGTTAAATCATGAAGTCAAAAAATATAAAAATCTAATAATACTATAAAAAAAAATGGGTTAGTAAATCCTCACAAAAATCGAAGAAAAAAATAAAAAACAATCCATAAAACTTACACAACAAGTGTTTGTCTGTTTCGCAGTTTTGTAAAACATCTTACTCTGACTCGACAACTGATCACTTCTCGCCACCAAATCATCCAACTTTTCTCCACGCTGTAACAAACTCTCCATAGTCTTATGCAGCACAATCTTTGTTTCATCCAATTCTCTCTGTACTCTCAAAAAGGGATCTGCATTAGCGGGATTCTGGACTTGAACGAGTAATTGTTTAAGTTGCGGATACGATATTTGACCGCCTGATGAGTATGATGACCGCGGGACGGATGATTCAAAGTCGTTTAAAAGTTTGGTTATCACTGCGTGCGCGGACCGGGTTGGGTATGAGGCGTCGGCGATTAATACGCATGCAAGAGTATTTTGTTGAATGTATACGTGGGCGACGTTTGCTGCGTTTAGAGGTCAAGGTTTTGTTTAAATGCAAGTAAAACTGAGTGATGAATTACCATCTTGTTCAATTTTCGCTCTGTTTCCTGCTGGAGTTCGTTCTACTACGGTCTTTGCTAGGAATCTGAACGCTTCTTGTGCACTAAAATGTGGAAAATATTAGGGGTAAAAGGATTGCGTTCCTCGGCAATTGCGAATCTTTTTTTACCTCCCCCTTAAGAAATACGATATATTCGAGAGTTCGTATTCGATAGCAATAATTTCAGCGTTGAATAATAAAGCGATACATAATACTGGCATGTTTACTGATTAATACTTGATATCTTCGCACTGTTAGTGTTTATATCGTTGGCAAGGTGATACAGATACACAACTCTCTGAAAGCAAAAGAATTGAACAATTGAAACATGGACAGCTCTCCATTGGAACGAAAGAGAAAGAACGATATGATTAGTGGAGGTAGCGCCAAGAGAAGAGATGAAGAAGAAGATGAAGGTTTGTTGACTGAAGCATTTTGATTCCCAACACGAACGGGGGTTGTTTACGTTGTTTCTTTTGAATTTAGAACTATCCAAGAAGGAGAAAAGACATATGGAATTTATGCTTCGTTTAGACGACCTGCAAATGGAATTTTTGAATAAACGTGAAAGGTAAACAAAAAAATTAAATGCAACGACTTTCTTTACTCCCTTTCGTCAAACTCTTTAAATACTTGCCCTATATTCTCTTCATTAAAGCTTTCCACTAACGAAAGTATTCTCGTTTTTGCTAATCAAACAGAATTTACATTCAAAAACTATCCCAATTCCGCACAGATCTTTTACAGCTTCAATCATCAACCCACCCCGAACTCCTGGCATCCCTCCACCTCCTCTCCAACATCTCCGAACTCGCGCTTCTCTCCGCAAACCTACAAAAAGAATACCTTCTCTCCTCCCTCTCAAAAAACTACGAAGACGAACTCCACGACATCGAATCCGAGTTAAAAAGAGAAAAAGAAGCAATTAAAGCTTCGTTGATGGCGGATTTGAATGAGCGAAAGATGAGGATTAAGGAGGAAGTTGAGTCGTTTGATATTGATAGGGAAATTGATTTGAGTGGGGGAGTTGGGATTGGGGCTGAGAAGAGGAAGAGGAAGTTGCCGAGGGCGCCGATGGAGGATAAGAAGAGGAAAAAGGTTCCCGGGATTAATCCGTTGAAGATTGAGGATGTTGAGGCGGATTTGATTATGATTAGAAAGGGATCGAGACGTTAATTGATGTTTTCTTTCAAGAAATTTTTGAGTTATTTTATTTTTGTTTTATAGAATTCTTAGTTTCAGTAAACAGATGTATTAAAATTCCAACCACACAAACGGTTTGCTTTATATCAAACTGGATCAAGATCTCGTAATCCTCCGCAACTCCTGATTAAAAATATCCCTGAAAACACTCCCATCCGGTTTCTCCCAACTTCTCCTCTTACACGCATCACCAACCGCCCCCAACGTGTCCAACAATTCCGACACATTACACGACACCAAATACCCCTGCCCCGAAAGCTCAACCGCCA